TTTTTACAGGGTTAGTGCCGAGCTTGTGGACTGCAACCGAGGCTGGTATGCCAGGCATGTCGGCCGAGGTCCAGGCGAAGACGTCCCTGTTCGACTTCAGGAAATCAATGAGTTCTCCCTTCTCTTCCGGCTTGAGTTTAATGCCAATCTGTGTTTTTCTAGTAGGGTCATTGGGGTCAAGCTGTATTTCTTCCACCTCTTCTACTGGGGTTGCTCTGGCGTCGTCGTTAGGTCTATAGTCTGGCAGCTCTATACCCATTACCTGCTGGGTGGATGGTATCTCTGCCTGAATTGGAGCTGGCGTTATTAGCTTATCCCTCTGAGGTAAAGTGACCGAGGTCATATAGCAATGCCGAGCTACTTCTTGATTGCCCCTCAGAGTTGCTACTCCCATAGGGGTGGGGAATTTCATGCATAGGTGGGACTGCGAAACGACAGCTCGGATTTCTGTCAAAGTTGGCCGCCTGATGACGATGTTGAAAGAGGATGCCATCTTTACGACCAAAAACCGAACTGACGGAGTAACATATGTCCGACCTGAACCGAAGGCTACCTTGAGCGTGAGGACACCTTCCACAGGGACTGGTTGATTGTTGAAGCCGTAGATAGGACCGTCATATTTCTGCAGGAGAGCTGGGTCGAGACCTAGGCTTTCGAAACAATGATAGTACATTATGTCCGGGGCGCTTCCCGTGTCAACAAGGACGCGGTGGACTTCACAGCTGTTAACAATGACCGAGGTGACAAGTGGATCATTGTGGGGGGTAATAACACCGTCAAAGTCAACTGCGCTGAAAGTTATGGGTTGGTTTCTCCAATCTGTCTCATCGAATTTTCTCTTCTGAACCCGGTTCTGATGTTTGACTTCCCGAACATACAACTTCTGCTGTTTTAAGCTCATTCCGCCAGCTTCTAACCCCCCTGTGATCATATGAATGATACGTGAGGGTGGGGGGAGTGGGGGTGGCGTTTGTTGGTAGCCAACGCCGACCCTGTTGCTTGCCTCCCGAGGTGCCTGAGGCCGTCCTTGTTCTCGAACGAATCTAGGTTGATCCCCTTTAGAGACGTATTCATTGAGCATGCCTTTCCGCGCTAAACCCTCCAGTTTTGACTTCAGGCTTTGACATTCCTCCGTGGTATGGCCGTGGTCCTGGTGGAAGTCGCAGTACTTGCTATGATCTCGGGTGGTAGGAGGACTCCGCATAGGCAGGGGCCTTCTGAGTTCCATTTTGTTTTTGATTTGCATTAAAATCTGCGACCTTGGCAGTATAAATGGAGTCCAGGTGATTTGCTTAGACATAGGTTGAGTTACAGTTGGGGGTCTGTCTGTCCTGGGCTGGAGTGGACCTCGATTCTGTACAGGTTTAAATCTCTTCTTGCTCTGCCCTTCTTCTCTCCAGGTCGGAGGTCTGACCTCTTTACTCGGAGTTGCTTTGCCGGACAACGCATATTCCTCCGCTTGAATAAATTTCCATGACCTTTCGTTGGCCTCATCAAAGGTGGTAGGTGCATGCTTGATCAGGCTATCCCGGAATCTGTCATGCTTGAGGCCTGCAGTCAATGCGGCCAACCCCACACCATGATTGAAAGAGCTGATCTCGAGCACTGCGTCGTTGAATCTATTCATATAATTTTTAAAGGATTCGCCTTTCCTCTGGGCCACCCGCATGAGCTCGGAGGTCGTCTTCTTAATTAATCGACGACTGGAGAACTTGGTTGCGAAGAACGCGGCCAGTTCGGCATAGGAACTGACCGAGCTCGGCTGCAAGCTATAGTACCAGGTCCGAGCGTTTCCTCGCAATGTAGAAGGAAATATCTTGCACATCAAGGCATCTGAGGCGTTCTGAGCCTGCATAATGGAGCAAAAGGCATGCAAATGGTCATCGGGGTCCTTAGTGCCATCGTATGTTTCAAAGTGTGGCATTCGGAACCCTGACGGGTACGACTCCTGGAGAATGCTGGGATTGAGGGGGGTGGGAATCGGGGCTGAACTCGGGAGGGTCGGAGTTTGTGGAGTTCGGTTCTCGGGTAGCACTTTTTCGAAGTTCCCTCTGGGGAGGTCTGAGGCGACCGGTTGAGGTGGCGGCTGAGGTAGAGGTGCCATGTGTGAGTGGGCTGGAGAGTCGTTGCGAGGCAGAGTGGCGGTTCGGACGGGTGAGGTTACGTGTTGAGGCCGTTGGGTAGGCATTTGGTTGGTGGGATTGAGCAGGGCAATGAGGGGGTCGCCTGGATTATCCCTGGCTAACAGTTGCACGAGCACAAGTTGAAACACGCCGAACTGCTGCTGTATGACATTAAGTTGGGCGGCTATGGGGTTTAGGTTTCCTGTTGAATTTGGGTTGTTCTCACCAGTTCCCTCTATATGCTGAGGTTGGGTTGTAAGGGGTGGGACGGTATGAGATGCAGGGTTCCCGCTGGGGAGTTGACCTCTGCCACGCCCTTGTTTAGGGCTTCCGTGTTGTGCTGAGTGTGTGTTCACCATTGCGACAGCCGCTAATGAAAGCTTTTAGCTCGTTTCCCACAGACGGCGCCAATGTAGTTGCAAGTGCTTGGGCATTTCGGGATCCTGTTCGCTTACTTCGGCCGACCTGCAAAGCCCCGAGGTGGGTCCTCGGGGTAGATACTCCGATGCCTAAGTCAGCAATAATCAGAGTTACCAAATGTGAGCCAAGAATTGGACTTGAGTTTGGTTTTTCCAATACCTTTAGGGAGGACCCTCGGGGGGTATTTATAGCCTTCAAAAGGAGCATCCACGTGTTGTTCTTCACGAGAAATCAGGGCTGTATGTGTCGACGATCCCATAAGATTTCTTTACAGTATTCCCGGACGTATGGAGTTACTGTAGAGTAGGATTAATGGGGATGAGCTCGAGGTTGGGCGAGCTTGTCATTCCTCATTGCCGGGGTAACGAGATTGGAAGTCCGGGT